ATGTACTAAAAAGACCCTGGCAACTAAGGCCCCCAGAGATACTCCAGAAACTGTACTACTTCCCAAAGAGGCCTCAGAAACCCCATCTCCCAAGAAGGCCCCATCCACTACAGCCCCCAAAGAGGCTCCAGAAATCCCATCCCCCCAGAAGGGCCCAGCTATTGTAGCCCCCAAAGAGGCTCCAGAAACCTCACCCCCAAAAAAGGCATCAGCTACTGCAGCCCCCAAAGAGGCCCCAGAAACCCCACCTCTGAAAAAGGCTCCTGCTACTGCAGCCCCCAAAGAGGCCCCAGAAACCCCACCCCCAAAAAAGACACTAGCTACTGCAGTCCCAAAAGAGGCCCCAGAAACCCCACCCCAAAAGAAGGCACCAGCTATTGCAGCCCCCAAAGAGGCCCCAGAAACCTCACCCCCAAAAAAGACACCATCTACTGCAGCCCCCAAAGAGGCCCCAGAAACCTCACCCCCAAAAAAGACACCAGCTACTGCAGCCCCCAAAGAAGCCCCAGAAACCTCACCCCCAAAAAAGACACCAGCTACTGCAGCCCCCAAAGAGGCCCCAGAAACCCCACCCCAAAAGAAGGCACCAGCTACTGCAGCCCCCAAAGAGGCCCCAGAAACCCCACCCCAAAAGAAGGCACCAGCTACTGCAGTCCCCAAAGAGGCTCCAGAAGCCTCATCCAAAAAAAAGGCCCCAGCTACAACAGTCCCCAAAGAGGTCCCAGAAACCTTACCCCCAAAAAAGACACCATCTACTGTAGCCCCCAAAGAAGCCCCAGAAACCCCACCCCCAAAAAAGATACCAGCTACTGTAGCCCCCAAAGAGGCCCCAGAAACCCCACCCCAAAAGAAGGCACCAGCTACTGCAGTCCCCAAAGAGGCCCCAGAAGCCTCATCCAAAAAAAAGGCCCCAGCTACAACAGTCCCCAAAGAGGTCCCAGAAACCTTACCCCCAAAAAAGACACCAGCTACTGTAGCCCCCAAAGAGGCCCCAGAAACCTCACCCCCAAAAAAGATACCAGCTACTGTAGCCCCCAAAGAGGCCCCAGAAACCCTTCCCACAAAAAAGGCACCAACTACTGTAGTCCCCAAAAATATCCCAGAAACCTCACCCCCAAAAAAGACACCAGCTACTGTAGTTCCCAAAGAGGTCCCAGAAACCCCACCCCAAAAGAAGGCACCAGCTACTGCGGCCCCCAAAGAGGCCCCAGAAACCTCATCCAAAAAAAAGGCCCCAGCTACAACAGTCCCCAAAGAGGTCCCAGAAACCCCACCCCAAAAGAAGGCACCAGCTACTGCGGCCCCCAAAGAGGCCCCAGAAATCCCACCTCAGAAAAAGGCCAAAGTAACATCCCCCAAAGGGGCTCCAGAAGTCCCACCCCAAAAAAAGGTCCCAGCCACAACTCCTAAAGAGACCCCAGAAATCCCACTCCCAAATAAGGCTTCAGCTACCACAACCCCCAAAGAGGCCCCAGAAACTCTCCCCTCTAAGAGGGCCCCAGCTACTACAGCCCCCAAAGAGACCCCAGAAACCTCACTCTCAAAGAATGACCCAGCTACTATAGCCTCCAAGGAGGCATCAGAAACTTTACCCTCTAAAAAGACCACAACCACCAAAGAGGCCCCAGGAACTCCACCCCAAAAAAAGACACCAGCCACTGCAGCCCCTAAAGAGACCCCAGAAATCTCATCCTCCAAAAAGGCCCCAAAAGCTTTGTCGCCCAAAAAGGCTCCTGCTGCTGCAGCTCCCAAAGAGGCCCCACAAACCCCACCCCCTAAAAAAGCTCCAGCTGCAGCCTCCAAAGAGGCCACAGAAACTCCACTCCCCAAAAAAGCTCCAGCCACTGCAGCTCCCAAAGAAGCCACAGAAACCCCATCCTCCAAAAAGGCCCCAAAATCTCTGTCTCCTAAAAAGGCTCCTGCCACTGAAGCTTCCAGAGAAACCATACTCCAAAAAAGTGCCCTAGCCATTGTAGCCCCCAAAGAAGCCCCAGAAACCTCACCTCTCAAAAAGACCCCACCTCAAAAGGTTCCAGCCACTGCAGCTCCTTTAGGTTCCCCAGAAAATGTATCCCCCAAAAAGGCCCCGGCAACTTTGACTCCCAAAGAAGCCCCAGAAACGCCATCTCCCAAAAAGGTTCCTGCCACTGCAGCCCCCAAAGAAGGCTCAGAAACTCCATCGCTCAAAAAGACCCCACCCTCTAAAAGGCCCCCAGCCACTGCAGCCACCAAAGAGCTCCTAGAAACACCGTCTCCCAAAAAGATTCCAACCACTGTGGTTCCAAAAGACACTCAAAAAAACACACCGCAAATAAAGGCCCCTGCCACTGCAGCTCCCAAAGAAACAAAAGCCTTACCCTCTAAAAAGGCTCCAGCCACTGCAGCCCCCAAAATGGAGACAGAAACCTCATCCCCAAAAAAGGTATCAGAAATGTCATCCTCTAAAAAGACCACAACCCCCAAAGAGGCTCCAGAAATCCTACCTCCTAAAAAGGTTTCAGCCACTGCAGTCCCCAAAAAGGCAGAAGAAATCCCACCCCCTAAAAAGGCCCCAGCAGCTTCAGCTTCCAAACAGGACTCAGGAACCCCCTCCCCCAAAAAAGTCCTAGCTACTGCAGTCCCCGAAGAAGTCCCAGAAGTTTCAACTCCCAAAAAGGCCTCCATTTCCTCACCTGAGATTCCTCCCTACCCACAAAAGGCCTCAGCCACCCCATCCACCAAAGGGGTCCCCATTGAGATGTCCCCCCAAAATGCCCCAGCAACTGCAGTCCCCAAAGAGATCAACAGTGGCCCAATTATTACTCCTTCCCAACAAAAGGCCAGAGCAACTGCAGCCCCCCAAGAAACTACAGCAGCATCTCTCAGAGGCACTCCTACTGCCCCAGTTGTGACTCTTCCCTCCCCCAAAGAGGCTCCAGCAACCCCATCTCCCAAAGGTACCCCCACTGTCCCAGCTGGGACTCCTTCCCCCAAAGAGGTCCCAGAAGCTTCAACCTCCAAAGTAGTTCCCACTCCATTAGTCATCACTCCTTCCTCTCCGAAAACTCTCCCAGCTGAGACTGCCTCCCCTCACAAAGAGGCTGCATCCTCAGAGTCCTCCATTCTCTCAGCCATTGCTCCTCCCTTACCCAAAGGTTCCCCTATTCCCCCACTGTCGGTCACTTGTACCATGGGTACCAGTGCCCCTCAGACATTCGAAGGGCTTCTAACAAAGAAAGGTCCTACGTCTCTCAAAGGAGGAGTACCTGTTGGCCCAGCTCGGGAAAGTACACCAAACATCACTGCTCCTGCTCAGAAAGGCCCAGGAGGAGCCAAGAATTCTACATCTCCTAAGTGCTCAGATCCCCCAGCTAAGAATGAGACTAAAGAATCCCTTTCTACAGTGGCTCCAGTCTCTCAAGTGACCATCCCAGTGCAGAAAGACACTTCGAAGACTGCAAAAACCCACCCTATATGTCCTGCAAAAGGCAAAGATTCTTTGCATTCTCCAAAGGGACCCTTGTCTGCTAGTTCTAAGACATCTACCCTTCCAGCAGCAGTTGCCCCTAAGAATGTCCTTCCTAAAGCAGAGTCAACAGCTGTCTCTCCAGGACCCACTCCACAAGTCCCTCTGTCTCTCGCTCCTTCCCCAGTTCCCCCTCTGCTTCCTAAACAGCCATTTCTTCCATCCTCACCTGGACTGGTGCTGGAATTGCCCTCTAAGCCCCCAACCCCTGCTGATGAGGATGAGCTGCCGCCTCTGATTCCCCCGGAACCAGTCTCTGGGGGAGTGCCTTTCCAGCCGATCCTCGTCAACATGCCCACCCCCAAACCTGCTGGGATCCCTGTCCCAACCCCCTCTGCCAAGCAGCCTGTTTTGAAGAACAACAAGGGTATTTGCCTTGGTTTGCCGTGTGCATGGTGTGTCGCCCACACCCCTCTTGGGGGCTACCCACCAGTACTAACCTTAGGATGCGCCCCTTTGTCCAGTTTATATATCTGCTTGAGTTTGCACATAGTACATAGAATAATAGTTCAAAAGCTCTAGGAATATGAAACTAAATCTTGGTTTTCATCATCTCAGATAGTATTTTGTGTCTTCTGTAATATCCAGACTAACCTGGATCTATCCTTTTTACCTAAATGATCTGACTTGAAAGCCAAGATCTACCAAATCTTTAAATTTGCTCTAATCCTTATCACTAACTTAATCTTATCCCTGGGCCTGGGATTTACTAAAATATTGGGACATCTGTAGCTATACTTATATTTCTTTTTACTTAAACATAGTAATCACCAGTTGCCCAGGGATTCCCTTTCCTTAAAAATGTAGAGGTCTGTTTTTCTCCCTGAAAATGGTGCCAGTGTATGCTTTATGCCCCTCCCCTTCCCCAGTAGTATCTGTTGATGCTTGGCCTTCCAATTGTGAGACAAATTATGTTTGGAAGAAATTGTGGGAGTCACTAGTGGAGAAACTGACTATTTGAACTGGACATAATTGAGAATTTTCAGTGATGATGTGATTCAATTGCTAGTATGACTATGAAAGAAGGCCAGAGTGTGTATACAACTGCTTCTGACCTCTGACCCAGTTTAAAAGATGAGGAAAAACTGCCACTGCCTGTTTTCCCTCTGTACTGTGATATTAATTTGTAGAGGTACCTTTTGGCCAGAACTTTACTGGGATGGTTTATGCTATAGAGTAAAATTTGGAATTAAAAGAGGGCTTGGTATGTGTGCCAAGAAATGAAGACGGGGGGGGGGGGGGCAGGGAAAAGCAGTTACATACATAAGCTGTTTGGCTAAGTCTCAAGATTGTCCCTCATTTCTGAGGGTAGGTCTTTAATGCTGGTTTATAAGTTGGAGATTGTCAAGCTGGCTTCATATAAGCCATTTCGTTTACGTTAACTTTGTAAGGCCTAGCAGAAATCAGTGTGCTCTACTTTAGGCAGACCAGGGTGAGATTAAATTCCTCCTAAAAACCTCTGCTATAAAAATAGTGAAAATTCTTGTCATTTTAGGGTCTGGAACAGAATCTGACAGTGATGAATCAGTACCAGAGCTCGAGGAACAAGACTCCACACAAGCAGCCACACAACAAGCCCAAGTAGGTATCTCTTACTCTTAGTAATTGCATCAAAGAAATGTTAGAAATACCAGATATGGTCATGCAGGTCTATATTCCAGCACCTCAGGAGTCTGAAGTAGGAGGATTTTAAGTTCAAGGCCAGCATGGGCTCCATAGCAAAGACTGTGTGTCTCAAAAGGAAGAACTAGAGAGCCAAGGTTGGCCAGATAGAGCTTTTGTGTTTGAAATTTGGAACCTTTATGAAGGAAAACCATATGGAAGATTGTGGTGTCCAGATGTTAGGTGTCATTTAACTTAAAGCTCTTCTATCTTCTTAGCTGGCAGCAGCAGCAGAAATTGATGAAGAACCAGTCAGTAAAGCAAAACAGAGTCGGAGTGAAAAGAAGGCACGAAAGGTAAGATAAATTACAAAGAAACTGGATGTTGGTGGCTCATGTCTGTTATGCTAACTTCTCAGGAGGCTAAGATCTTAAGATCTCCAGAGAGGGCTGGGAAGGTGGCTCAGTGGTAGTGTGCTTGCCTTGCATGCATGAGGCCTTGGGTTCGATTCCTCAGCACCACATAAGCAGGGGGGGAAAGCTGGAAGTGGTGCTATGGCTCAAGTGGTAGCACGCTAGCCTTGATCTGAAGAGCTGAGGGACAGCGCCCAGGCCCAGAGTTCAGGCCCCCTGACTGGACCAAAAAAAAAAAAAAACAACAAAAAGACAAAAATAGAACTGTGGTTTCAAGCACCAGCCTTGAGCCAAAAAAAAAAAAAAAAGATTCTGATGAAGCAATTTTAGAGTAGAAGGTCTATATTAGAAATATTGAGTTATTAACTTTCCTTGCTTTCTAAAGCTTCCTTCTAAAATTAAAAATGATGTTCTATTTCGTAGGCTATGTCCAAACTGGGTCTTCGGCAAGTAACAGGAGTTACTAGAGTCACTATCCGGAAATCAAAGAATATTCTCTTTGTCATCACAAAACCAGATGTCTACAAGAGCCCAGCTTCAGATACCTACATAGTTTTTGGGGAAGCCAAGGTAAAAGACTAACACTTAAGTGTTGGTCCAAACCAACCCTATTTGACATTATCTTGAAAAAGGGCTATTCTATGCACTGTTGATATTTAGCAGCTTCATTTACAAAAAATCTCCAGATATTACCAAATATCCCTTGGGGGATGAAATCATCCTTGTTTCTATAGTGAAACTCTGAATGAGGGCGTTTTACAGGTACATTGCAAGATACCTAAAATGAATTTTGAGTGATTTTTGAAAGGTACACATTTCCTTTTAATGTATTGAAAACTGATCTACTCACATGAATGTATTCTTTTCCCTGTAGATTGAAGACTTATCTCAGCAAGCACAGTTAGCAGCTGCTGAGAAATTCAAAGTTCAAGGTGAAGCTGTCTCAAACATTCAAGAAAACACACAGACTCCAACTGTACAAGAGGAAAGTGAAGAAGAAGAGGTATACTAGGAACTTTTAAAACCTTTCTGTATAGCAAAATGTTTTAGTTCAAAGTTGGTGGCTCATGCCTAAAATTCTGTGTACACCGAGATATGAAAATTGTGGTTCAGGGCTAGGAAGTTGGCTCAGTGGTAGAGCACTTGCCTTGCATGCATGAGGCCCTGGGTTCCATTCCTCAGCACCACATAAGCAGGGGGGAAAAAAAGCCGGAAGTGGCGCTATGGCTCAAGTGGTAGAGAGCTAGCCTTGAGCTGAAAGAGCTGAGGGACAGCAGCCAGGCCCAGAGTTCAGGCCCCACGACCGGACCAAAAAAAAAAAAGAAAATTGTGGTTCAAAGCAGCCTGGTCAGGAAAGTCCATGAGACTCTTGGCTCTGATGAACTACCAAAAAGCCAGAGGTGGAAGTATGAGCTCAAGTGGTAGAGCCCCAGTCTGGAGCGGAAAAGCCAAGCTTAGAGAGGCCCTGAGTTCAACCCTCAGTACTTACACGAAAAAATTTTTAAGCTCTCCCAGAATTATATGGTTTTGGTTTATTTGAACTACATTTAAAAGATGTCTTCCAAGAACTACTTTAGTTGTTCTTACCTTTTATTAAGATTTTTCTCTCTTTTAGGTTGATGAAACAGGTGTGGAAGTTAAGGACATAGAATTGGTCATGTCACAAGCAAATGTGTCAAGAGCAAAGGCAGTCCGAGCCCTGAAGAATAATAGTAATGATATTGTAAATGCTATAATGGTAAGTTTTTGTTTACTGTCTGAGCCCAAATATCCTAAAACTGTATGTATCCTGAGGTAGCATTTAACATTGGATCTTCTTGTCTCTGCCTTCAAGTATTAGGATTACAAGCATGCACCAACACAGTTTATTATGCCTAAATAGCTTCTGCCTTGGCTAATAATGACTTTTCTCTGTATGATAGAGCCTAAATTAAAAGCCTCTTTCCAAAGCCTACTTTTAGTAGCCTTAGGTTTTAATGACCAGAATTTGCACTTCGTCTTTAACTACTTCTGTTTTTTCTTTTACAGGAATTAACAATGTAACCATATGAAAACAAGGACCCTTTTTTTGTGTGTCTGTGTTTCAAGAGGGTAACTGAAGCTTGGTTTGAAATTTGTACTGTTTCTATCATTAATAAAGTTATGGCTTCTTGTTGGATGAACTTGGTGTTTGATCTGTTCCCAAAAAGTACAGTCAATGAAAAGCTATCTCATGAAAGGGAGATTTTTGGCCATAGTACAAATGTTAGGCATGATTTATGGAGTTAAAACTTTCAAGGACTTTTCTTGCCTCCGCTGGAAAAGTCCCTCAGATCTCAAGACTCCTGAGAAGCTAGGATTATAGGCATGAGCCACTAGCACTCAGCTCAAATAGATATATAAAAGCAAGTTAAGCTGGGCATTGGTGGCTCACTCCTGTGATCCTAGCTACTCAGGAGGCTGAGATCTGAGGATCTCAGTTCAAAGCCAGCCCAGGCAGGAAAGTCTGTGAGACTCTTATCTATAATAAACCACTAGAAAACCGGAAGTGGAGCTGTGGCTCAAGCATTAGATTGCTCGCCTTGAGCTGAAGAACGCAAGAACAGCACCCAAGCCCAGAGTTCAAGCCCCATGACCAACAAAAAAAAAGGAATAATAAGTAGAAAGAATATATTCAGCTGGGCACAGTGATTCAATCCTGCTTATTAGCATATGCAAAGATCTGGGCTTAATCCCCAGCTCTGAAAATAAAATCCTTGGTATCATCCTAAACTACTCCCACTACTCTTAGCCATTATCTATCAATTTTATTTCTAAATTTTATTGGGGCTGGGAAGGTGGCTCAGTGGTAGAGTGCTTGCCTTGCATGCATGAGGCCCTAGGTTCAATTCCTCAGCACCACATTAGCAGAAAAAGCTGAAAGTGGCACTATGGATCAAGTGGTAGAGTGTTAGCCTTAGGCTGAAGAGCTGAGGGACAGTGCCCAGGCTGAGTTCAAGCCCCATGACAGACACACACACAATATATATATATATATTGGGCTACCCTATTTCTCTATGCTTACCTCTATAGGAAGATTGACATGAATAATCATTTCTTGTTTGAAACAATATTAAGGTGAAATAAAGAGACAAAGCAAAGGTGGGGGGAGCAGGAAGTATGAATAATAGGCAGTGGTCTGAGGTTGGTCTGACAGCCTTGTCAGAAGAAAGCCTTTGGTGCCTTTGGAGAGGTTGATTTCACCACTTGTTACAACTTTATCCCTTTATCCTCCAGGAGTCCTAGGTCAACTAGTCCATGGAAGCCTTTGATTCCTGGAGAGGTTGATTTTACCACTTGATCCAAGTTTATCCCTTTGTCCTCCTGGAGTCTTAGGTCACCTACCTAGAGTCCATTCTTAATTCTAGTTGGTTTTGTCTCAAAACATTGTCCAGGCTGTTTTGCTACAGTTACTTTAGCAGATCTAAATCAATCCACCAAAATGTGGGGTATTCCATCATGCATTTTAGTGACCAGGTGCTTGTGGCTCACATGTAATTCTAACTACTCAGGCTGAGATCTGAGAAAGTTCAAAGCCAACCTTGGCAGGCAAATCCTCCAAACTCTTATCTCCAATTAGCCAGAAAAAGCCAGAAATGGGGCTGTGGCTCAAATGGTAGAGCACCAGCGAGGATCAAAAAAACCTGAGTGGCAGCTGTATTTAAGCACCAATACCAAGAAGCAAGTATTTCATTGATGTCTTTTTTTTTTGGGGGGGGGGGGTAGTCCTAGAGCTTGAACTCAGGGTACTGTCCCTTATCCTATCAGGCTCCTTGGGTATCTGATTCTCCAGCATATCAAGCTTGGGGCCTTCTTAGTAGCCCTATCAACCAATCCCTAGCCTTCAAGATCCTGTTTCCTGGACTTCACTAGACAAGTTATCCTTGACTTTTTTGAGGAACATTGGATTCTACCACAACATCTGGATACCAAAACGTTTCTCAATCTATAGGGGCCTGTGCCTGCAGATATTGCAGGGCCAGAGGCCCCCACAGTGAATCCATTAAGTCCTCACACGATATTTTCTGCCTGGTGAACGTACCATTTCACCAAGCCATTGGATAGGGACACTTGCCATTTTCATTGTGCAGGCACCTAAATATACCTACTTTGTCATTTGGGAACATTTCTGTGGTTCTACAACAAATACTGCTCTTAGGTACATGCCCTTCATTTGATGTTGCCTTCAAGCTCTCAGTCCTATCCTGTGTTATACTAGTCCTAGCATACTTTCAAGACTGGGAAGGTTTATAATGCCAAATCTTCAGATAAGGCTTTTGTTTCATTTTCTTGATTTTGTTCTTTTTGGTGCCAGCTCTGGGGCTTGAACTCTGGTCCTGGGCACTATCCCTGAGCTTTTATGCATATGGCTAGCAGTCTACCACTTGCCACAGCTCCACTTCAGGCTCTTTTAACTGTTAGAGATAAGTGTCATGGGACCCAGGCACCTGTGGCTCACGCCTGTAATCAAACTACTCAGGAGGCTGAGATCTGAGGATCACGGTTCAAAGCCAACTATGGCAGGAAAGTCTGTGAGACTTCAATTACACCAGAACATGAAGTATCACTGTAACTCTAAGTGCTAGCCTGGAAGTGGCGCTGTGGCTCAAGTGGTAGAGCCTTCACCTTGAGCTAAAGAGCTCAGGAACAGCACCCAGGACCAGAGTTTAAGCCCTATAACCGACAAAAAATTAAAAAGTGTGACTTGAGCAAAAAAAGCTCAGGGACAGCACCCATGCCCTGAATTCAAGCCCCATAACCAGCAAAAAGAAAAAGTCACAGGCTTTTCTGCCAGGGCAGGCTTCAAAATGTGATCTTCAGATCTCAGCCTCCTGAATACAGGACCAATAGATTAGGCATGTATTTTTATTCTAATAGACCTCCAGCTTTTTTTTGGTGGGGGGGTCTGGTCGTGGGGCCTGAACTCTGGGCCTGGGTGCTGTCCCTCAGCTCTTCAGCTCAAGTCTAGCACTCTACCACTTGAGCCACAGCGCCACTTCTGGCTTTTTTCTTATATGGTGCTGAGGAATTGAACCCAGGGCCTCAAGCATGCAAGGCAAGTGCTCTACCACTGAGCCACCTTCCCAGCCCACCTCCAGCTTTTTTTTTTACCAGGTCCTGGGATGTGATCCTTCTGAGTAGCTCAAATGATAGTCATGGTTACCATGTTAAAAATCTCAACTTTTTGCATGGGCTGCCTAAAGCCTCACAATTTTCCAAGTAGCTGGAACTAAACATTTGAGCCACCCAATTACCAGTCCATGGACTGGGGATTGAACTCGGGGATCTGCATTTTTTTTCTTTTGCTTTTTGTCAGTCGTGGGGCTTGAACTCTGGGCTTGGGTTCTATCCCTCAGCTCTTCAATTCAAGGCTAGTGCTCCACTGTTTGAGCCACAGAGCTACTTCGGGTTTTCTAGTGGTTTATTGGAGATAAGAATCTCTCAGACTTTCCTGCCCTGGCTGGCTTTGAACCTTGATCCTCACTCAGATCTCAGCCTCCTGAGTAGCTAGGATTACAGGCATGAGCCACTAGCACCCGGCCACCTAAACATTCTTGCTTTTTCCCTCACAGCTGACACTGTACTACTTGAATCACATTCCTACTTTCTGCTAGTTAATTGGAGAGAGTGGAGGATTTGTCTGCCCAGACTAGCTTCAGTGATCCTCAGACCTCAGCCTCCTGAGTAGCTATGAGTACCCAGCTTTGTGTTGATAATTTCATATGGACCACAAATAATTTTATTTTCAAACAATCCTTAGCATTTTGATTTTACTCTAAGCTATTTTCCTCTGGCTGGTGGAAACCAGTGTGAAATTTAGATACTGTTTTCTTTAGTCCTTTGAGGTAGTTCTTCCCCTAACCTATATATTTTCTTTACACACATGTACTAACCAACACTCAGTTAACTCAAGGGGAACTCCCAAGAGTTCCAGAAATCTTTTTTTTGGGTCCAGTTGTGGGGACTGAATTCTGGGCCTGGGCGCTGTCCCTCAGCTCTTCAGCTCAAGGCTAGCGCTCTACCACTTGAGCCACAGCGCCACTTCTGGCTTTTTGCTTATGTGGTGCTGAGGAATCGAACCCAGGGCCTCATGCATGCAAGGCAAGTGCTCTACCACTGAGCCACCCTCCCAGCCCTCCAGAAATCTCTTGATGTGAAGTTATCTCCTGAGAGTCTACCCTGCCTTCTTCTTTTACTCCCCTCACAATGGAAATTTTCAGGCATTAACCTGAATCTTAACATAGAATTCTATCACATTTGTTTCCCATCTTTTTTTTTTTTTTGTCAGTCATGGGGCTCGAACTCTGGGCATGGGCACTGTCCTTGAGCTTTTCAGCTCAAGGCTAGTGCTCTACCACTTTGAGCCACTTCCAGTTATCTAGTGGTTAATTGGAGATAAAGACTCTCATGGATTTTCCTGCCCAAGCTGGCTTTGAACTGCAATCCTCAAACACCAGCCTCCTGAGTTGATAGGATTACTGACTGGCATGTGCCACCGGCACCTGCTAGTTTCCCATCTTTAAAGAAGTTCCTGATATCTTTGTTGTTGTTGGTGGTGGTGGTGGTGGTGGTGGTAGTGGTGCTTATGGGGCTTGAACTCTAAGCCTGCGTGCTGTCCCACAGCTCTCCAGCTTAAGGCTAGCACTTGAGCCACACTTCCAGCTTTTTCTGCTTTTGTGGGGCTGAGGAATTGAACCCAGTGTTTCACGCATGAAAGGCAAGCACTCTACCATTGAGCCACCTTCCTAGCCCATTGTTTTGAACCATTGTTTCATATATTTTGTCAGGCCTTTATGCATGTGCCAATCCTGGGGTTTGAATTCATGACCTGGGCATTGTCCATGAGCATTTTGTGCTCAATGCTAGCACTCTACCACTTGAGCCACAGCGCCACTTCTGGCTTTTTCTGCTTATTTGGTGCTAAGGAATTGAACACAGGGCTGCCTCATGCATGCAAGGCAAACACTCTACCACTGAGCCACCTTTCCAGCCCACCAGTTTCCATTACACATTTTATTTATTTTTTTGCGGGGGGGTTCCGGTCATGGGTCCTGAACTCTGGGCCTGGGCACTGTCCCTCAGCTCTTCAGCTCAAGGCTAGCGCTCTACCACTTGAGCCACAGCGCCACTTCTGGCTTTTTTC